TATAAAGAAAGTTATTTATAATAAAATGCTTCTAACAAAATAACAAGTTTAAATTTAATGAATACTTCATGGTTTTAAATTAAAAATAGTAATAAATTATTATAAAATCGTTAAATTCAGAGCGGCAAAACGACGATGGATTAGGGTATTATATTTTCCATTCTATGATACAGGTGTGGACAGATAGAATTTAATTAAAAACGCATGATGTCGATTTACAAATTAAACATTCGCCTACACACACACACATTACTGTCCAGAACTGAAGAATGTTGACAGGATTTCACAAAATATGCTTCAAGCCTCTTCTACTTTTTTCTTTTAATTAGATTTCTTTCTCTTTTATTCTTATTCTTTTTTAGATATTTTCTTTCTCCTCTTAAGTAGTTTAACCGCGCCGTCTCCAGGCGCATGTAAGCGATCCATGACCAATTCTTTTGTTTCAGGCACACTATAACACTATCTCTCGCTTGGCACGCAGAAGAGACCTTACTTCATCAACACTTCCCGTTTGCGTCGGCCACTCACCAATACGGGGAGGTAGCCGTAGCACCGCTTGTCAAGCGGAGTGAGAAAGAAATAAGACGTCACACGCCTCTGGAGACCAAGCGAAGACATTTTCCATACGAACCGCTGGGCTAAAATACAGTGAGATTGAGGATTCCCATTCGCAACTAAAAGTATAAGGACAGAACGCGCGGTTGTTTTTTTCGATACATTTTAGACTTTCTACAAGTTTTTCGTGTGTTACTCATTTTTATTTTTCCTGCACTTTCACCATTTAAATGTTTTCCCCTGGGCCTCTTTGGGGTGGAAGATGCCCCCCCTCGATCTGACACTGTGATTACATCAGTAGCATATCCAACAGCTTGAATTACGCATCTGAATTTGTTTTGATAAATTTAAGTCATTTTTTATACTTTTATAGCAATTTAAAAATATTTTAAGAGTATTTTATTGATCATTCTTGGCGATGTTCTAAGTCGTCAAAATCCGCCCGTTAATTATTATATTTCCCCATCCTAGGGATAATGTATAAATGCCCAACTGAGACGGGTGTGAGCGGTACATTCAGATAGTTTTTTTATTCGAAGTGTTTGGGAAGAATGCGTCATTACAGATTATGAAGAATGACGCAGGCTAAATTCAGCTCATGCTGCGATACAATTTTATTCGTTTAAATGATTATCTGCAATCGTTTTTAAGGAAGTAGAGAGAAAATTATGTAATGCTGCGCGAAAAAACGGCTAATTTTCTGAAGAAAAAACTCTTAATACAAGGCCCTGGTAACGAAAAAGTAGATAATCCCGTTGCTAAATTTAGAAAAAATAATTTAACACTTGGAGTAGAAAGAATCTGTTTCGTGGGCCCTTGAAACCGAAAAAACTCGAATGACGGCAAAACGAGTCGGTCTGTGAACAACGCTAGTGGCTAACCCGATCACCGGATTTTCTCCAAAATTGATATTCCCCAATCGATCTTGCTGGTGGTACGGCTCCTGTAATTTGAAAACAATATATCAATTTTACTTTACATGAACGCCCTGGGACAAATTTTCAAAAAAAAAAAGGCTCTATCGTTTTTGACTTTTTGTGTGTGTGTGATGAACGTTTAAGAGAATGGTGCAGGTCTCATGTTCGTTGAAAAACATGAATTTTTGGAAAATTGCAAAAGTTGAAACTAAAACATCAAAGATAGTGATTTTTCCCCTTAATGAAATATGTTCCTTGAGGATTATTTTGAAATAAGGTCGTGAACGATTTTTTGAAAATTTGAGTACTTATCGCGTAATACTGCGTGAAAATGCGGGCGAGAAAGTATGTGCTGTTTTAGCACCACTTGTTACTTAAAAGTTTCGTGAGAAGTTAAAATTAATAGTTACTGAAATTTGGGGGGAGTCAAATTTCCATTATTTCGCCCCCTCTGCGTGGAACCGCGCCTGTTGTACATAAAATAACTCATTACATCTTGGTCATGTATGAATGAGATAGTCATTTTCCTCCTATTTATCATTAATCAAATACTATATTTTACTTTACAGCGTATGTGCAGTGCAGTACACACATACTATATTTATATTTTTAGCTTACAAATATTTAAACTCATAATGCGATATTTTAAAGATTAGATTAGTGCTAGATTTCAAAACTCAACTTCAAATGTGCGCACAAATTCATTGAAAGTGATATTGCTAATTTCGTTTTACACTACATTATTGGGAGCGGCATTGGCCAAATGCTAGGGATCTGACCTGAAGAGGACCCGGGTGTGAATCTCGATAGAAGCCGGATATTTATCTGGTGATATCCACTATAGGCTGCTTTGGGGTCCACTCAGCCCCCTTTCTAGGGAGTACCAGAGGTCTTTCGTGCTGGGGCCAGAGCGTTGTGCTCGCCACACAACCTCCTCCAGCCATCAGCGATGAATAGCCCTTATACCTCTCCCTGGGGCCCCATCGGCCTATGCCAATTACGACAATCTTGTATGGCCGCTACACTGAACTGCACCCCATTTGAAGCAATGACGTCGGATCTCTCTGATTACTCGCAAGTCATCCGCGAGTTTACTACAGTTCTTGGAAATGTGCAAAACCTTGGGGTGATAAACAGGCTGCGTAAAATTAAAACATCAAAAAACAAACACTTACTACGGGAATTGTGCTTCTTAGGCAAAAACTGCGAAGGAATTATTGATTGATAATATTGAGCTCATTTACCTCATGAAATGCCTCAACCTACACGTGCCCGCGATGGAACGTACGACGTCGGCTTGTATCACTGGCCTGAATGTACGAAGACAATTCCTCAGTTGAAATGCATATGTCGTAAGTGACATATCCCCATGAAACAATCATCTGGAAGAGTAAGTATTCGCAATATTTTAGTTCAAGATTCAACAGAGTTGGGAGAAACGTAGTTTCAGGCACAATTGGTGGAGGGACCATGCTTCTCCTCGAAGGTAATGTTATGTGTGTGCAGGCGCAGATCCACGGGGAGGGAAATGAGGAAAATTTCTCCCCGGCCCCCCCTCAAATTTTTTCAGTATCTATTCATTTTAATTTGTCACGAAACTTTCAAGCAGAAATATTTTAGGATGAACATTAAAACGAATAAAATCGTATTGCAGCATGAGCTAATGTAGCCTTCGACGTTTTTTCAAAATCTGTAATATGACACCTTTGACCAACACATTTTGAATTTCCCCTCCCGAAATTCGTCTCTGGATCCGCCCCTGGTGTGTGTGTCTGTGTAGTTTTACTCGATTCAAAATATTAACCTTGTATAAATGTCATCACATCTGAAGCAGTATTTATTATGAACATGCTTATCCTTTTTTATCCCAAGCTAACAAAACAAATCATATTTCTGGAGGTTCTGAACTGAAATTCCCTCCCCCGCATGAATACTTTCTGGATCCGTCCTTAGATGGAGAAGCGAGTTAATGTATTGACACGTAAAACTAGAAAACAAACGGAACACTTCGGACTAGTTGAATGTGGCGTCACCGACTCTGTAAACTATTTGAAAACTATTTTCATGTGTTGAAAATTTCTAAATATTATGCATAGCTTTGTTGAAATACATTTCTCTGACATTGGACATGCTAATGAATTTGAGTGGCTGCTGATGTAGTTATCGGTTTTCAAAATGTCCCTGGCTTCCTGTTGGTAATCTTCAGTATCCATAACGACAGTCGCATTACCTTTGTCTGCAGAAATAATGATATCCTTATTCCGGTTTAAGTTCAGGCAGACTCTCTTTGTTGGCAATATTGCTATCAGATGGTTTAGCGTGTTGTAGAAAACCAAGGACTTTTTGAATACCGATAACTACAGGCTTCTTCCCAAAGATCCTACTGCTTCTATTTTACGCAAGTCCAATTACCTTCTCAAGAAATCCTCTATACCACCTAAGGAACAGAAGATTCTAAAGATTTCGGAGGCGCTACCTCCTAGACTCTATGGCTTACCAAAGGTCCACAAACGTACACCTTGGCCAAATACCCCTCCAAACTACTACAACCTCGCGTTGGGAACACAGAAAGACACATCAGGGGTTCCTCTCACTTTGCTTAAAACCCGACGATCTATTGGTAAGTTTTGATGTCACATCGCTTTTTACAATGGTTCCAGTGCAGGACACTTTATATTTCTTAGCAAAATATTTCACAGAGAATGTCGTCTTACTGTTTAAACACACACTGACTACTACCTATTTCCAATGGAACGGTAACTTGTGTGAAGAGACAGACGGCGTGGCTATGGGCATTCCATTGAGTCCGTTTGTGGCCAACCTTTACATG